CCCCTCAAAAAATCCGAGCCCGGGGGAAATCCCCCCCCCCCCCCCCCCCCCCTCTCGTCAGACCTGCGCATTTACATTAACGCCAATAATTTTCTCAACAAAATTTTATGCTTAACTGCCAAGAAATAAACGTACGTGCAGACGTTTTATTTGCTTTCCTTAGAGATATATTATTATACAATAATTCAGTAAATTCAATAATTAGTAATAATTAATTAGTAATAATTAATAGTAATATATTAATATTAATATTAATATTATTAATAGTAGTATTATTAGTAATATTAATTAGTAATAATTCAATAATTAGTAAATTATCAAGCAATTTAATTTGCGATATTACTACTAGTTCAATCTGTTTGCGTTTCAAGACGGAAAAATTAATTCGGCGCGCAATTTAAATGACTATCTAAGTACGTAGTATATAAATTCCCATTGAATTATGTAAGCACTTAAGATCTAGCTTAATTGATATCCGATTTTTATTCAATTTTATCATTATCATCTGGGCTGATATTAATTATGTAATAATTTAATATTAATATTATGTAATAATATTATGTAATAACGTAGCTAAATGTAAGTTTTTTGTGAATATGCGAACTCTCGGAGCTGAAAAAGACTAAACTGAATAATTATTATGTAATTATTAAGTAATTTCACAATAATATATTGGATTTTATTTTTAGACATTTTTGGACATTTTCCAGTTAACAGCCATATTTCTTTCCTGCGTTCATTTTTGATTGGTGGCTTCTTTTTCATGAAAATGCTGCCTTTCTTTTCACTGTGAATGTGACCAAAGCGGTCGCCATTTTAACGTCTAATGGCGTGTGTCGGCGTGATGTGATGTTCGGTAGGTTTTGATGGTTTCGAGCGAATTAACAACAACTCTCGGAATAATCTCGTCCTCGAGGAGACGTGAAACATGGCGGAGTATTTAGCATCTATCTTCGGTACCGAAAAGGATAAGTAAGGAGATTTCGCCGAGTTGTAAATGAATGGAGACGTGAATGACTTTTATCCTAACCTATGCTTTTCTTTTTCTCTTTTCAGAGTAAATTGCTCCTTTTACTTCAAAATCGGCGCCTGCCGCCATGGCGATCGCTGTTCACGTATCCACAATAAACCTACATTCAGTCAGGTACTAAATAATTAACTTAATCTAATTTAAATCTGTAATTAATTTTTTATGATATAAATGTGTCTACATTCTACATGACAGGGAAAGAATCAATCCTCATTCAACCATGACTATCAGGAATATCTTTTAAACATTTAATATAAATTGTTGACATATTCTTTATGATTAATATTCATCTTGTATTGCTTCATTCACAATCTTTAACTTTCTAATTAATTAATTAAAACAGATATAAATTTATAATGATATAACAACTCGGGTAACAAACTGACCTTGTCTATTTGTCATCATTTTGTCATCTATTTTGACATCAGAATGACAATAATGTCATCATTATTACTTGAGAGTCAAAATCAAGTTTAGAACTGACTATGAATCATTGTGTTCTTACATAAGACTCTTAAACATTTAATATATTGAATTATTTCTTTTCCAGACATGCCTGCTTCAAAATCTGTATGTGAATCCTCAAAATTCTGCCAAAAGTGCAGATGGTTCCCATTGTGAGTACATCATAATTCTATAAATGATAATTATATATATTTTATCTCTCTGTTAAATTCTTTTCCAAATGAATAAAGAAATATGATTTATTCCTGTTCCAGTGGTAGCAAATGTATCGGACGAAGAAATGCAAGAGCATTATGATAACTTCTTTGAGGACGTCTTTGTTGAGTGTGAAGACAAATATGGCGAGATCGAGGAGATGAATGTGTGTGACAATCTCGGCGATCACTTGGTGGGTAATGTTTATATCAAATTTCGCAGAGAGGAAGACGCGGAAAGAGCTGTGAATGACTTGAACAACCGCTGGTTTGGTGGTCGACCAGTGTATGCCGAACTTTCACCAGTGACGGATTTCAGAGAGGCTTGTTGTCGTCAATACGAAATGGGGTATTCTAACGTTACTTTCTCTGGCTCCGTAAAGCGCATGATGTATCATTTTATCTTTATTTATTCGATCAACAACAAAGATAAAATGATATATCATGTGCTTCACAGATCACAGCTTTTAAATAGAATCTATTCATGCAAACGTCTAATGATGAATGAAATCGGTTATCTCATATCTTCTCTTTTTCTTTTCGTTTCAGAGAATGCACGCGTTCCGGATTCTGCAACTTTATGCACCTGAAGCCCATCTCGCGTGAGCTCCGCCGCTACTTGTACAGTCGCAAGAAGAGCGGCAGGGGACGATCTAGATCGCGTTCGCGTTCACGCGGCCGAGATCGCAAGCGGCGATCGCGATCGCGTGATAGACGATCGAGATCCAAAGAGCGCCGAAAAAGGGACGACAAAGGTAGGGACGGCCGATCTGGAAGATACTAATTGTATAGAAAATGATTATTCATTCCAACTGATCTGACATTATTTAACGGGCGGACTTGATACGATCGATTTATCTTGTACGTGTTCCAGAAAAGTATCTATATACACATATGTCATATATTATATATTTATACGTGTAATCAATAGAATTAGTGTTCTTCAATATTATATCATTTGTTAATAATTTAACGACTCCGAATTAATTGAAGGATGTCTTTTTCGCGCAATGAAAAATGACAGACAAATAAAATATAAGCATAGAAATATATATTTTTTATTTCGTGTTATATTTTCATATAAATTATCGAACTTAAACATATACTGTGAAAAACGATGCACATAGTTTGGTGCATATTTATGAATACAACAAAAAATTTACGTATGCTTTGCGAAGATGCCTGACTCTTCTGCAAAGAGCATCGATATAATCGTACATACACACATCATTATTGAATTATCTTCCTTTCAAAAAGCGGGTGACGATAACGCTTCTTTTTGTCGGATAGTTACCTAAATTTTTTTATTCAAAATTGCATTTTGAAACTATTTTTATATTTTCATTTTCTCGCGAATATCATTACTTCAGTAAAAATGTAGACCGTATGATATATTAAAAAGTAATTCCACATTGTATCTATCGTACAAAAAAGAAGCCTAATGTGGGACACAATGACAATTACTGTAAGGCGCAAATAGATCGTGAAAGTTTATTGACAAAAAACGGGTCAAGCAATCTAAAGTTTAAACGCTAAATAATTTAAAATAATTCACCTTTCTCCTCTTATTTTTTCTTTATAAAAAAATATTAGGTTGTATACAAGAAAACACTACCAACAGATGGGTACAGCCACAAGAATATTATATACAGCTGCAAAGTAAAATCTTTTCTTCTTTATGAAAGAATATATACTTTGTAGGATTTAAACAAATTGTCCAAAGTTCGCCTAACTTAATGCAGGCTGGTGCATATGTTTACTTATGTCGTAAGTATGCCTGTCAATATCGCGCGTATAAAATTATGATATGCGAATAATTATGATCGGTGACATAATGGAAGATGCACGCAGTAATAATTTTTTATTCTAATTCGATATTAAATATATCCACAATTATATTGCTTCTTGCTCGAAATTTCAAGTATCGCCGAAGTCGTTCCAAGTCGTTCGATGTGCGAGCAGACGTCGCAACATTTTCACAAATATCACATGCAGTAACAGCATTTCGGTATACTTTTCTTTGTACAATTTCCTTCTTCTCACGTATCCTACTTCGATTTTCTTCCCATATCCGTTGAAAAAAAATATCCCACCAATCTTTCCGATTATACCTCGTATAATCGATATAAAAAGAAAAAACGATACTGAATCATACGATAAAGATTGCATGATATATTTATACGCGTAACTTCTTTTCCTCCCTCATCATTAACTATCAACAAGTCTCAGCATCATACAGTGTAAAATTTGTATATTACCAAGATGATACAATTGAGTTCGACGGAAAAAGATGCATCTTCGTGGTTTATTCCCATCTGAATTTCTCCAAAATATACTGTATACAATATTTTAATTGTACTTATATATATTTATATATATACAGTCTCGTGTAGATGTGTGCACGTGTGTATGTTGTGTATGTTTATATGTATATAGTGTTACGCGAGCGCACTCTATTTCTCTTGATGGAACAAGAAATTGAGCAGTGCGCGACACAGTCTAGCTTGTTATCTTAGAAGGTACACATTATCTTTTTTTTACTTTTTTTTCCTTTCTTACTTAACTCTTTATTTGCCCTCTCGTGTTTTACGATAATATAGTGCTCCAGTTTTTTTTTTTCAAGAAGTTCGTATCTAAGCACAGAGGTATTATTCTTCCATTAATTCTCGTAAGACAGCTTAAGATAGCTTGACTGTCCATGTCATGTGTAATGACACCACTTGTACGCGTCGTAAAAATATTTACATTGTTCAGATTAATAATTAATGGTTACGATACTTTAGTAGTAGTGTTCAGCGGGAGATATACGAGATCAATGTTTAGGGGGGCTAATCGGCATAAACAATGAATTGTTGATTGTCCACATCTGCAACTTCAACTTGGACAAATTGAGGCTGTGTAAGTTGGATTTGTTGTACTTGTCTCCCAATCGCATTCCGGGATCTGAAATTATAAAAAACAAGATCTAATCAGATAATTAAGTTCCCCTTTTTTTTCTATTTTACATTTTGCCACATTGATCTACTGAATTATGCATTTACAATCTGAATTTAAGCAATTGATCTCTTTAATATTCTAAAAAGCAACTTAACATCATTTTACAAAACATAATTATTGTCTAAGTCCCGTCTATTATTCTTTAATACAGCTCTTAAAATATTTTCACGCTCGTTTTTTTTGTTTTTATCTCAAATCCAAAGTACAACAACGAAGCGAAACTTACTTGGCCTTCGCGTGAGTTAATATATGCGACTTGAGGTTCGTTGATTGCGCAAACTTTTTACTGCATCCATCGAATGGACATACATATGGCCGATCGCCGGTGTGGATCCTCACGTGGGTACGAAGATTGAAATCCAAACTAAACCTCTTGCCGCATCCTTCAAATGTGCACTGAAATGGTTTTTCACCAGTATGCACCAGCTGATGTCGTTTCAATTTGGAACTCTCGACAAAAGCCTTGCCACATTCCGCACACACGTGAACCCGTGGACCATGCGTATGCAAATGTTTGCGCATCGCACTATTGTCTCGAAACATCTTTGTGCATCCTTTGTGAGGGCACGCGATCGTTCGCTCGACACCATCCATCACCGGCGGTTTGCGCACCTTTAACTTATGGCCGGGTCGTGCAAACTCAGCAAGTTGCTTCGGATCCGACAGATCCAAACCAGGCATACCGTCTGACATCGAACTATTCGAATTGAACTTTGCATTGGACTTGCCCGTCATGTATTCCGTGTAGTCGGGATCCGGTTCTGGATTCGAACCTTCATCTGGAACATCCACATCCAGGTCAGGCGCTAATAGGATGTTACCTTTAACAGCAACAAACGGAGAGCGGTCCCAAAAAAGCTACGGTACTTTTTCAATTTTTTGCTAACTATATGATATATAAATTTAATAATATATCATATAGTTTGATATATATAAATATATAAACTTTTATATTTTATATATACTCTCTCTCTCTTGGTAACAAAGGAAACAGAAATTATTAGTACAAGAGATTATTAAAGGAAATATTGAGGAATAAATTTATAATAAAACTGTAACGAGATATAATTTCTAATAAAATTATTATAGAAAATTAAATTAAGGCGAAGATGAGGCTAGACATCTTAATTTAATTTTTTACAATTAATTTCTTACAATTTCCCATACTGAAAAAAGAGAATGATGTTATATCAATAATATTATTTTAACTGAAAATAATTTTGTTGATTCAATCTCACTATTAAGGAAAATACGTCACTCTTGTTTTAATAAAATTTTATTTGTTGTATTAATACTATTATTGATTCAATAAGACTATTTTCAATTAAAATAGTGCTGTTGATATAATATCATTTTTTTTTCAGTGCATAAACGAGACAATTAAAACTATCATTTGCAATCAATGTTTAATTACTTCTGATTTCTGTCAGAAATAGAAACATCGAATTTTTTAAACTTAAAATCACAGGATATATTTAACATTACATTTTTCTCGTTGCAAGCTTAAAAAAAGCGTTTTATTCAGGAAAAATGGGATATATGAGATAAAAGTAAAATGCATACCGAAAGAAATGAGATACCTGTTATGTCGCGTCTTCAATATCTAAAGTCGCAAATTCTTCCCGAAAAGATTACAATACTAAAGCTTGTATCGAAAAATTTTGGCAAAATACGATTTATCTTTAAGGACGCATTATATTAATTTTACAAATGCATTAATATTTATACTTTAAAGAAATTATATACATATGAAAGTTGTGTTTACAATAATCTATTTTTTAATAATTTTATTGTTTATTTACTTTATTATTTTGTCATAAGTTAAAATTGAAAAATTGACAAAAATTTCAATTTTTTGTATAAATGTTTTAAGTAGTCAAAATGATTTATGCAAAGTTTCATTGCGATTCAGAGATAGATTATAAAAAGATTTAAAAGAAATAAATATCTGTTAGAGCACATAGATTTAAAAAACATTACTTAAAATAAATTTTGATCCAGATGGTAAATCGTCATTAAATTTTTCTTATTACTTTCAAATGTATGTACGATCTAAAATAATCTGTAATTGTTTAAATAGCTTTTTCATTATTTTGAAAATTTTGTAATGCATCCTTAAATATGCAATAAAAGACCTGTCTTTTATTCCTGCACTTTATGAACTGGTGCACACAGTGCAATAAGTTAAAGTGAAACAAACGCATTTTTGTTTCACTTCAACTTATTGCACCATGTGCACCAGTTCAGAGAGTGCAGGAGTAAAAAGCTTATGTAGGATTCACACTGCCTACGACATCCGACGTCCGATGATGCTTGTATGAAAATGTTCGTCAAGATTCAATTTTTTCGTCCGACGACGTACATACGATGGACACATCGCAATATGCAACTTGCAAAGTATATGCAGATAAAAATGTCGCTAACTAGAACCGAATTCTCTTATTGATATCGTCGTAGGCTGTACGCAGTGTGAATCCTACATTAGGCCAACATTACATGCGTCCGTTTTTGTCGTACGACAAAAAACGGACGTTTTATATAATACTGGCCTCAAAATATAAAAAAAAAACAAGGAAAGCGCGAATCAACGAAATCATTGCTCGTGTTCAAGTTCAGGACACCCGGTATACGCTCGCGAAGCAACATGAATCCCTCGTGACGTCAGAGGTCGGAGCGTTACTCCAACTTCTCTTGGAACACCTGCGTCTCGGACCGTCGAGATTCACATTTTTTTTCTCTCCAATGAGAATCTCGGCTAGAACTCGCTCTACATATCTATTTTTATCTCTCTCAAAGAGACACAAAATTTGAATGTATCGACGCCGATAGGACACCAAGTGCCGCGATGCTCCGCGACGTCGCTCGGCTCGGCCGCCGCCGCCGTACCGCCGCGTTAAAGAGGCCATTTTCAAAATATGGCTGCCCCCGTGGGAGCCAAGCATAATGGCGTTCGCGCGATCAAAACAAACAACGCGGCCTGTCAAGCCGGCTGGAGCGCGCGGCCGACGCGACCGGCCCAGGTAGCCGATTTCTCCACACGGCGATCGCGCGCCCGTGCAACGACGCAGTATCGATCTGAGCATCGCACCGGAAGTGCGTACCCGCCCGTGTGCGTGGTGGATAACGAAGGGGCCAGAAGGAACGAGGGGAGAGACGGAGGAGAAGAGAAAGAAAGAAAATCCTTTTTAACCGAGAGCTCGGTGAAGGGAGAGCGACGGATAAAAAGAACGGAAAGGAAAAAAGGAGGAAAAAACGTATGAGAATGAAAGAACGAAAGTCCGAATGAGGAGTTCGGAGGAAGACCCAGAATGTGCAAAACACTCACCGTCGTCCGTGCCGGACGCCCACATCGTTACCGAGAACTCTCCCTCGAGCGTCTTGATCTGCACCTGCTTCTGTTCCCACTTTCTAGCCTTGGTCTCGGTAGCCATCTCGCCGAAAATCGCGTGGTCGGAGGCACGGAAACGCGTGCCGCCGCTCTTACGCGCCTTCTTAGCGGCTTTACGCGACGGCCCGGGGCTGGACTCGACATAAATGTCGTTATCCGGCACCGGGATCTGGTCGTATACGCTAAGCGGATCGGCGCCAACGATCTCCTCTTGCGTCTGCAGTATGATTTCTTCTCGGCCCGGCTCTGGCAATGGCTGCAGCGCTATCATCGGCTGCCCGTCCTCGCCCTCGATCGTCGTCTCCACGGTCTCGCACGGTATCTCCACCGGTATCGCCTCTATCTCGACCTCCTGGATGTCCGGTTGGATCTCCACTTCAGTTATTATGTCCGAGGACGCCATATTAATCTCCGGCGGCGACGCCATGTTAACGTACCAAAATGGCCGGCTGGCCTGGCGACAGCGGAGCCTCGGCGGGGACTCGAGCGTCTCGCGGTCACGTGACCACCCCCTCACGTGACGCCGCCCGCTACCAGAGGGAGCGTCGAGCGCGCGCGCGCCTCGTCGCGGCGCCATCTTGGGAGCGCGGCTGGACGCTTTTCTTTCTTTCCTTTTCTTCTTGTTGTCATATTTTACTCACGTTTAGTTTTCGCCAGCGCGATTCGGAGATTGTTCTGCCGATCGACGTGACTCAATTTTAATTATTTACATTGTTTGATCGAGAAAGCGGAACGAGGTGTCTCCAAGCGACACCCAGAAAAGGAGAATAGGTTAGGAGCCGTCTGGTGTCGATGGCCACGATGGATCTGTCAAAAATACCGAACGAGAAGAAACTGTATCTCTGCAAATGGTATTTTCGCGGTACGTTGACATCGCGAAGCTACGATTAAGGTCCTAATATACTTGGCACTTGACGATTTATCGGATACCGTGGAATGGGATGGTTGGCACAAATTTTGACAACACACATGACAAAATTGGGACGTAAGACGCCTTACAACCGTCTTAAAGAGACATTTCTTTTATGTTTTCCAGGAAGAGACAGTATAACAAGTGATCATTTCATCTTTGTTTAATATCAACAAACAAGAATGTAATGAAATTTACCTGTTACACTGTGTCATCTGTATCTCTTATTGGAAGATATCCCTTATCACCTGATTCTGGATACACTTGCTGTCCAGTCACGTTTTAAAATTTGAAGCAGAGTTACTTCATTTTTCAATATTACAATTCAGATCTTAATACATATATGGATTAGCAGACGACATCTATAAATGCTCTATCCTCAAGTATGTTAAAAATTGATTGAGAACTAAGATTAGGATTAAACATCAAGTACAGCTATAAATTGCAACAGTACACGATTCATAGCATTAAAATATAATTCTTATGTTGACTTCTTTAGCTGCGTTCTTGATTTTTTGGGATAGTTGTCTCATCTCTCCAAAATCTTTCTTCCAAATCTAAATATGTATATATAATTTAAGTACAGAGAAAAAAATAAAGAAGTGCTCAGCCAAATGTCACATTTTACATCAACTTGCCAATATTTTCTTCAACTTCTCTCTGTTACAGCTGGTTTTGCACTGCTGCCATTCCTATGGGCCGTGAATGCAGTTTGGTTCTCAAAAGAAGCTTTCATAGCACCACCTTACGAGGAACAGAAACAGATTAAGAGATGTTGGTGTCAATCAATTTATTTCCTACGACGAATCTTAGCCTCTCCTCTCTAATGATACGCATTTACGTTTCTTTCAGATGTGATTTTCTCTGCTATCGGAGCAGTCATTTGGACAGCTGCTTTACTAGCTTGGATAATAATCTTCCAAACCCAAAGAGCTGCTTGGGGTGAATTCGCCGATTCTATCAGCTACATAATTCCCACCGGTATTCCTTGAGCTTGATACCCCATAGCGGTACGCAATAATTTATTGCAGAAATATGTGCATTCAACAATTGTATATTAAACTTTGTAATATATTTATGTCATGTAAGTTCATATGGTAACATCTGATATGTAGCATACGCAATAAAAAAATAACATTCTTTTTTACATTTTGTATACATGAATAAAAAATATCAATTTCGAAAAGTAGCAGCGCGCTATTAGCTTTTCTCTGTTTAAAATTACATTTAGATGCGTGTAGCAGTTATGAGGAAAAATACTGCCCAAAATAGACTATTTCCATATATTTAAATTCCTCTCGTACATCCCTTTAAGGAGATACGAGACTATAAATTATAAATACACAGATTCAAATATGTAAAAACTGACATACCTCTCCGCATCTATATGCAACAATTAGCGAGTTTTATTTCGCATTCTACATTTGAATAACTCTTCGTCTTTGCACATACAATCTTATATCCCTGTAAACTAATCTGGACAGAAGCTGAAACAGCGAAATACAATATGCACGTTATTTGTAATGATATTTCGTTTTAGTATCAATGAACAAACAAAGCAAACTCACCAGTAGAGCGAATAAATCCGCGCACATGAGCATATAAAACACATTGTGCCATCCGCCCCATCGGGACACTAAACCTGCTAACAGCGGACCAACTGCAGCCCCGATACTACCAGTTCCATCGATAATGGCAGTTACTGTAGCTAAAGCTTTTGAATTTTCTCCTAAGCTAGAATGAGTTCCCAGTTCGGCAGACACAGCAGTCGTTATTAATGCGTACGGACCGTTCACTAAAAGCCCTCCTATCAGCAGTAATACTATGTTGACGCCTAGGCTAGTATTTCCGATAGAGTCGTATATAAATAACTGAAATATATAAGGCACATATGTTAAAATGTACAAATGATTTATACATTCGAATTTATATTTATAATATTGCATATTATCATTCAGTGAAATTAGAACATTCTTTAAAGCAACATATTTATAATTATTTAATGATTTTATAATAATTTATATAAGCAATCATTTTTTTACAGCTCATTAATAATTAATCGAATAATTTTGTCATTTTGTAACTGTCTGCATGTGGCAATATTCAATGTATTAAGGAAAAAATTGTCCTCACCGCGGGAAATGCAAGTCCAAACATCGCGGCGCACGTTAACGCGCTCATGCCGCTGTAATCGGAGATGATTCCAGCTGCTATAGCACCTATTATACCGCCCACATCAAACAGAGTCGACAGATCCGCGCTCAGAGTTGCGTTGTATGTAGCTGCAAGAAATTCTTATTGAGACTAAAACGAGATTATATAACGAGATAGTAACAATAAGATTATTATTGCAAATACCTACTTGTAGCTGCGATGTACAATGGTAACCAGTAGAGGAATGTATAGCTAACAAGCTTCGCGAAAAATAGCGATAAGGAATATTCGATGACACCAGGTATCTTTATGGCTCCTATGAAGTCGATCGCGCTATTATGAGATGTATTATGATCACGTCGGTGTCCAGATAGCATTGGGCTGGTTTCAGAGCGTTCACTTGCCATATTCTGTGAAACATATAAATTACATATTACTACTAATAGTATTTATATATATTAGATGAAAGCAGTTGTGATATTAATGTTATAGTAAAACACATTGCTGTTCAAAATACATATTCTCACGCGGTTTGAGAATTGCGAATAAATTTATGCACCATATATATAACCACATGCATTGCAATAACACGTGATTTATGTTTATGATTATTACATTTCAAGGCTAAATGGCAGTGTTAACTGTAGAATCGCATGCACTTACATCGGTAGAAAGTTGTTCACGGTAGACACAGCGATAGATGACACGCTAGGTAGAGTAGACGCTTAGTTATTATGGAAGTGCAAATATAATTCTACTAAAAATAATTAATCTTGACGCTTGCATTATTAAAAAAAACCTAGGAAAACTAAAAGAAAGAAATAAAATTGTAATCATAGTAAAGTATAGAGAACATGCTTATAATTAAATTATGAACATGCTATTATGTGTTAATTGGCAAACGTATTACGCTACAAATTTTACGCTTCTTAAAATTAAAAAACATCTATTACACTAATACTAGTATTTGCTGAATGAAAAAGCGTTGAAAATATTTAGCAACTATGATGAACTTACATCCTGGTTGACACTACGAGATTCGTAACCTCCGTCGAACGAGTCGTCGTCCGAGCTATTGGTTACATCAATTTTCCGATATCCGAGGGAAGCGGGCGAACTATATCCTATGTCAATAGGATTTGGTATTAGGAACAGGAAGATGACGAATCCCATCAGTCCCATTATCACTCCAGGCACAATGAAACTCAAACTCCAATCGGACTCGACGTACGCCGCCGCGATTAAACTACCTAATATATTTCCTAAGGACGTATGAGAGTTCCATACTCCAAAGATCAAGCCACGCTTGCCTTTTCCAAACCAATTTCCCACAACAGTTACTACACCTGGCCATCCAGAAGTTTGAAAGATTCCGCCTAATGCCTACGTATAAAAAGAAAGGGAAAAATGTGAAAGAACATCTTTGTAATGTGCTTGTGTAATAGGGGCTTTTTATTTAATAACACAAGTCATTCTATTTTTCTTGGCATTTCGGGAGTAACAAAGACAGACCGATATTTGGATCAACTTGTGTCACCAAACAGAAAGCATTTAATATATTGATAATTTACCTGGACGAAAATGAAGTACCACAGATTGTGAATATTGTACGGTTTAGCGATTCCAAACAGGTAGCATGATATGCCTGATGCAAGCATACCAATAGAAAGGAAGTATCGCAGATTTACTCTCTCCGCTATGAACCCGCTGTGTGAAAAAAAGACAATATTGTTGATAAAATTTCCTTATGCCTTGGAAAGTAATAAACTCATTTCAAGATATCCACCTAAAAAACATAGCCACTGCATATGCAAACAGAAATGCTGAGTCTAGCATGCCAAGTAATGCTGGTGCATCCTCCGTGTCTGTAAAAATAATGTAGCACAAATTATTCGCGTATTCGAGTGTTTGTTTTTTTCATGCATACGGAAAAATATCATGCCAAGAAAAGTAATTACTCAGCTTACTTTTTTTTCTCTTAAGGGGATGCTGGAGTGACCAAATTATCACATTACAGTCGTATCAAAATCTTCGAATTGACTAAACGGAATAAAAAATCCTTTTACAGGATTAAAGTAGACGCAAAATTAGCAGGTGGTGCAGTGGATTTTATACTAAAATCGAAAGAATGTTAAAAAATTTGTTAACTTTTCAGTCATCTTCAATCAATTCGAAGATTTTTATACGACTGTAATGTGATAATTTGATCACTCCAGCATCCCTTTAACAAAGAATATTTTTTAATAGATAATAGTCTCAAAACATATTTTTAACAAATTTTCTAGAAAACTCATTATCATGTATTTAAAGCAAGAATTAACTTTCTTTTGAAGAATATTATAAAATTTTATCGAGAAAACAATTTTATGTAGAAAGCAAATCAAATTTTAATTTAATAATCTTGATTGAAATATATATAAGTATTAAAATTATTAGAATTCAGAACATATTTTGAACAAACTTGATGCTCATGATAAACTTATAATAAATTTGCAGTATATTAACTTTTAAAATACTTCAAACAAGTAATTAATATTTATATAAATACAGTATGTATTTTTCTATGTGAGATATTATCTATTATCTCTCCTTACCAAATGGAGCCCAGTCGCACCAGGTATCTCGGTTACTGGCATTTATAAAAATATCCGCAGGTACTGGTAGATTGCTGCAATTGAGACTTAGAACGTTCTTCACTACAGATATCGGTTTCCGAGTCAAGTGATAACAAGTGTATGCTAGGTAAGTAAGTGCCAATATGCTTCCTTGGTGCCATGCTACCCAATTGACACGACGATGTTCGCAGCAACCGTTGCACATACACCTTGAGCATCGCAGACCCCATGGTAGATCTCTCGTCGGTCCATTCATATTAATACTTTCTTGTAGTATTCAACAGTATATTTTGTACTCTTCGATTGCAGGATTCTTTTTGTGCAGAGGCAAGACAAAATAATCTTTTCGTCTTATCGTAATTGACGTATTTAAAATGCAACTGGATTTAATTAAATAATATTCAGATCGCACAATTAAATATTAATTAGCTAAATAGACAAACACATAGAGATCTCTTGTGATCTCTCGACGAGTTATTCATGTATAATGTTACTTCCACGATGCTTTGCATAGTACTAATCGTTTGTTCACAAACATCCAGTGATAAAGCGTCAAACAAGACCTAAACTAAGTTTTAATTTAGGTGGTAAATAAACGCAACTGTCAATATAACCTAGGAACAGAACAAAGAGATCTGTAAAAAGTTTAAAGAGTGGTGACTGAATATTACCTACATTTGAGGAAGATTCCGGAAGCAGATAAAAATTTTTGGTAAATGCAGTCCTGCCGATTATCTTTCTTCTCCCTCCTTTTTCTTCGAAATGCAATGTTTATACTATCACGAGATGACTATTGTACGTCAGCAACGCCCATGGACGCCCACTTCTACATTGGTATGTTGAGTGAATCTATTGCGTCGATGCTAATTGCAACGTTTTTAAATACAATAATTGTTACATGTTCCTTGAACAACGTTAGTGCCACGTTAAGATAAACATATCGATTACGTTATGCGACTCCATTTGACTCCATTGACGTGAGTCACAATCGATTTGAGGTTATGTCTGGACAAATATTCCCTGGTGAAAATTTTTCTCTGAATTTTTCATGGAATTTTTCAGAATTTCTGAATAATTTTATAACTTTTTTAGAAAGTTGCTCAGATTTTTTTATACAAATTGGAATACTTTTCCAAAATGCCCCAAAAAAGTTTATATCTTTTTTAGCATTTTTCATATATATAAATTAAATATTTAAAAATTTTTTTCTTATTCTATAATTTCTCGATGAATCTTATAAATCTGATAAAATCTGAAGAAATTCAAAATATTTTTTCAATAATTACAGAATAAGAAATCTTAGAAAGTTTACAATATTTTTGAAAAAAATTATTCTAATTTGTATAAAAATTCTGAAAC